GTTCTCATCCTATCAGTTCGCTTATCATTTTCTAACTAAACCATATCATTAGCAATCATATCATCATAATACCAAAGCCTATCTACAGTAGCAATGTTATCAAACTCGCGAGTCTACTCAGACTCGTAAAGGGTCCATAGACCCGACTCGCAGACTCGACTCGCAAACTCATACGAGTTTATGGAAAATCAAAAATGACTTTTAAAAACCTATATGTGACACATACAAGACACACATGTATTTTAAAACTTGTAAATACCTCATATATGATACAAATATATATATTAGAATACCAATTAACATCAAAATATAAATTTCATACTCCATAACAAAGTTCTTAACAAAAAAACTCAATAATAAAACAAACAAAATAGTAAAGTATGTATTTAAAGACTTAAAGTATCAATTTCTTCTTAATTGACTACTACATAAAGTAAAAAAATCATAAAGCAAATATGCTAATGGGTCTAAACATCAAAAACTCCAGTAAAATCATCACCACCAATATCATCACCATCATTTTCATCGGTATCTTGAGTATCATCACAAAATTCTACCTCGGATGAAACACCTTCTTCATCATTAACCAAAGTTAGATTGATTGAAGTTCCATTTCCACCTAATTCAACATTTCCGCCACCACCACCACTTTGCACAATATTAGTAACAACAATATCAACTTTCACAACATTGTGAAAAATAACTTCATCTTACTTAACATTAACTTCAATTTAAATATTTTCTGCATTATGATCTTCAGTTATCTATTCATCATCTTTACACAAGAGAATATACAAGAGAAACATATAAGAAAAATACTTATAAAACAAATGATTGATTTACGAGAACGAACACGAACAAAGCAAAAGACATAATAAACACATGTCGTCTATGAAGGGATAAAGGGAGGAAGAAACTTTGCTAAAACAAGAGATTAGGAGAAAGACTTTCTAGTTCTCGTACAAGCAAAAAATGGGGGGTTTTTTTAAAATAAAAAATAAAACCTTTTAGAGAATTTGAGCTTTTTTGGGGTTAAAAAAATAAAATTCAAAAATTTTTATAGACTTGTAAACTCACCATAGACTCGCGAGTCTATACGAGTTTATGCGAGTCTACCTGAATCTACTCGAGTTTATCAAAAAATGATTCTATACGCGAGTCTACTCGTTTTCACTTCATAGACTCGTAAGCTCGTACGAGTTTACGAGTCTACTCGCGAATCTGACAACCATGTACAGTAGGGTAACCTAACTCTCTTAACTTGTCCAATATTTCAAAGTAACTCCAATAATTAGGATCAACATCTCATATCTCCTCTAACCCTACATAATCTAACTTGGTAAAATTTGCAAACTCCTTAGAAAATTCACCAGAATGATGAACAACACACTTAAACCTAATCTCCATGACCTAATCAACCTACATATAGTATTAGAAGTACTAAGTAAGTTAGGTATAGAAGAAATTTAACATTTTTTGAATCGTATTTGTGCAAGTTCGTACCTTAGGGTTTTTTGTGCAGACGAATGAAATAATGAAGTTCTTCTGCAGCGAACTTTGTCTTCAAACAAGTGTTGTTGTCGTACCTTGGGTTTTCTTGTTGTGGTAAATGTCGCTATCGTCGTCTTCAATGAACTTCGTCTTCAAACAAGTGTTGTTGTTCACAATGTAGCTGCTCTCTGAACCTGAGCTTTTATCCAACAGTTATAATGCCCTAATATGTTTCATCTCCTTAAAATGAATGTTAAGTGTAATACAAAATCCACCTCATCCATTAAAATAATTACAGAATATCCACCTAAGCCATTTAAAGTCCAGCAGTGCAATTTCTAACGTTTTCTCAACTAAAACTAACAGAAAGGACTAATATACGTAACAGAGTATAATTTAGTGGACCATAATGTAACGTTTTTTCTTAAGGGAGCAAAGCGAAACAAATACTAAAGTTAAGGGACTAAAAGAGGTATTAAGTCTTAAAATTACCGAAAATTTTGAAATTTCTGATATAAGACTAGGTATTTTGAACTACCATAAATTTAGAAATTTCCAGTAAAAAATATTTGGTTTTGTACCGGAAATTTTAAAATTTCTGGTATATATTATCGGAAATTTTGAAATTTCGAGTAGAAAATATCAAAAAATTTATAATTTTAGGTAGAAAATACTGGAAATTATGGAATTTTTGAAAAAAAATTTGTTTTGTAATTTCTGATAGTTGTGTTGAAATTTTCAATATGCTCCCTGAAATTCGGTACAAATTTAAAAAGTTGAAAAAAAAATTTCAGAATTAATTTAGTCTATTCATCCAAGTTGAGAGGGTGTGAGGTTTAAGTGTAGGAATAACAAGTTAATTTTTCATTAGATTTGAGCAATGAATCTAACAAAAATTATTTTAAAAATACATAATTTACAACAAAAACATTTTGCAAGTAGAGGAAAATTAACAACAATAATACATGAAATTCAATCCAATATTATAAGAGTCAAATAAAAAGTATTAGAGTTAAAATGAAATCCGCATCATTTAAATATCATAGCTATAGCTATGGTGATATTATTTGTGTAGTGTAGTATTTATATATGGACCCAAAAATCAAATAGCATCCTCCTCCTCATAATAAACACACCTACACGAGTGTCATCTAATCCGGAAAACATGGTCAGCTGTATTTGGATCGCCGTTTTTCCTCTCCTATATATAACCAGTTAATGTTGTTTCCTCTTTTTTTATGTCGACGTTGGAACTTGTATTGTCGCATTCTTTACCACACTAAAAGACAAACGTTTAATTAACTTGTATCCTTAATCCCATTAATGTATAATAAAAAATTGACGTACTGTACTTATCAATTCCAATCATAGCTGGCAATTGAAAAGTCCTCAAGATAAGATATACTGATATATACAAAATCATTTCATATTTATTATATGTTTTATGTTTCTTATTAATATTTTTCATTCTGCTAACATCAACGTGGTTCTATGGTGTAGTGGTTAGCACTCTGGACTTTGAATCCAGCGACCTGGGTTCGACTCCCGGTAGGACCTAGTTTTTTTCTGAAAAATTCTGTAAAATTTATCCACGTCAGACATTAATTGTGATGTCGACTTAATCAAGTGTAGAAAGAAAACAAAATAAGAAGAATCTCTTAAGAGATTTTAGTTTATAACCAATTTCCAATCAACAACAATCTTTGACCTTGTTGCACTCAGACAGTGACATTAGAAACAAACCTCGTGCGGTTGAATAAGCCCACGCTCATACAGTGACACTCCATTTGTTGGCATGATAACGACTCCCCCAAGGCATTCACTCTGTCAATCTCATGTTTTTGTCGTCTCATCCGAGTGTTCTGCAGTATAATTTTAGTCTGTCTTACACGATCTCAGATGCGGTATAATTTTAGTCTGTCTTACACGATCTCAGATACATCTACGTCCCTAAAGACCTATTGGGAAGTAGATATGATCTTGATGACACACATTCTTAACAGAGTAACATGCAAATCCAAAAACTGCAAAACGACACAATCCATTACAATGGCGGGACAAGTTTATGTAAAGTCAGATTTCAATGTCAATTCACCTAATAACCTTATTTAAATGAAATAAAAATAATAAATAAAATCGCCTGCTGGTAGCATGCTAGAGGCAAATTAATTTTCAATCAAAAATAAAAACAAATATTTATAACTTTTTACTATTTGAAAGGTATCTATCTACCTGTAAATTGCATAATATAGTAAAGCCAGATAGATATATGCCAAAAAGTGTCGGATCCCAAGCATAGTGTTACCCAAATGTGACATTATTTTTCCAGTACAAAATCACAGATATGGTAAGAGCTAGTTACTACACTGGGCCCTATTAGTATTATAAGTACCTTATGGATTTTCTTCAATTTTGGCTGAGATGAGTTTTTGTCACTAAAAGCAAATTCTACACGTGTATAACTTACTCTATATTTTATTTTTTTCTACTGTGTCATTCATCTAAAATTAAGTGTAACGTTTTGGAAAAATCCAACTGAGGGGCCTCTCTATCATATGCTCTCATCCCTGCATGCACAGCATTTAAGCATTCAACTTAAACAGAATATTCCACCTAAATAACTATCAGTCATTTTTTTCTTCTATGTAACACTTGTTTCTCTTTATGAAACATTGCTCTGTCTAGCTCCTAGAATGGATTTATGTCTAATCCTTTTCTTACATTACATAATTTTACATCGAAAAATTCAACAATATCAGTTATATCGATAATCGTTGGATTCATATTAGTCTATCTGAACAGACTGATTAATCCAACGATAGCCTGATATGTCTGACTGCATTATTTGAAGTTGTAGCCTTGTAGGGACTGAAAAACATTATCAAAAGAAGACAAACTATGAGGTGATAGCTGAAATAAGTTAGTTTGTTGGTACCATGTTTGCTATAAACCATTAAGAGAAGGAAAAAGACAATGATTGAAGAATCATTAGTCCTAAAATTAAAATTAAGTTTTACTAACTTGAAAGGACAGCACTATGTTTGAGTTTGATATATGGAATCATGGTAATTTGTAATTCGTTGGCTCATTCATTCATTCATTCGTTCATTTATTCATCCATTGATTCTCTCTCTCAATCACTCACTCATTCACTTGCTCTCTATGCAGTTTACTACACTAACTGACACTGTAGTACACATGCACACAAAGCCAACTGGCAAATATTGATTTCATTCGCATAAAGATAAAATAAGAAGGCGAAAGGAGTGACTAAAGGGACAAGCAGTTTACAACTTTTTGCTTCTTTATGTTTAATCAATTATTTTATAACTTGTTCATCTTCTTCTACTTATATTCTCTCAACAAAACACATTAACAAGCATATAAGAGAGAAACAAAGAAACTCTACTCTTATAGGTCCTTTACCACTCTACAAACTCTACTCATTCATCTCACCTTACCAAAATCTATATAAGATTTCCATAAAAAAATTCTAAGAAAGCCTTGAAATGGATATGTCGAATTATTCGCAATACAATAGTGAAAGCGAATCCGGTTGGACTAACTACTTGAACCATTCCTCTTTTTCTGCAAAACATTTCAATAGCAAAAGTGTTGATTACGGGGATTATGAAGGAAAAGGAGTAACAATAGAGGAAAGGGATGAGGAAGAAGATTTATCCATGGTTTCTGATGCTTCTTCTGGCCCTCCACACTATCATGTAGAGGAAGATTATCAACAAAACTACTGTGTAAATTGGAATAATTCTTCAAGTTCTAAAGAATCCAAAAAGAAGGTCAATGATTACCGTAGAAAAAGTCAACAATCCTCACCTCTTGATGACACTGCTAGCTCCCATGTTCTTAACTATCCCAAGGTAACTCAAAATGCTAATTTAATCACTCATTCACATAATTTTTAGCAACATTCCTTTTTGACTTGTATTTGAATTGAACAGAAGAAAATCAGTTTCTCTGTGAATGGAGCAGTGGAGAATAATAATAATAATACAATTGATTTTTCCCCTTGTTTCTCTGCAACAAGAACAAAGGTATATTATATATCTACCACATTATGCTAATTACCATGGTTACATAATTAACCTAAATTTATCATTTTTGCAGAGAAAGACTAAATTCCAGAAGCGTTCACAAGCTTCCGGGGAACCAGGTGATATATAATCATAATTATAATTTATAAACATACTTTTTTTTTGCTGTAAATTTTGTATTAATGATGGTTTTAAACTAATGAAGAATGTTAATCTTTTAATTAGGTGGTTTTAATGAAGAAAGGAAATGAAAATTGTAGCTGCAATGTAACTTTCTCTTGAGAGATAGGAAAGGAGATGCAAGGTGTTATGAGACAAGGGATGTAAAAATAAAGAAGGAATAGTTCTTTTGATGTAATTTTTGTTGTTTTTTATTATGTTGTTGTCCCACTGCCAATGCAGTTTGGAACAAACTAAGAACAAACTTTCTTATTCCATTTTCTTATTTCCCTTCAAATTCTTCCTATCATTGTCCTTAAATTTAGCGAAATAACAAGACATCACCGCGATTTTGACAAAATTTAAATTTAAAGATTTCAACAAAATTGCGATAAAATGGATAATAAGATATACTAAAAAATTTCACGTCAACGAATACTGAAGACGAATTTGACATCTGGTATCAACGAAAGCCTGATTGGATTGCAAGCCAGGCCGCCAGGCAGGCAAGCATAGTTTAGTGTGACAAGTGATGAGTTATGTTATGGGTCCATTGAATTAAGTTAAGGTATTGCCAGGCTAGCTCTCAACCACCTTGGGTGGTTAAATATGGCAACATAAGGTGCTTGAGTCCTAAAATAGACAAGGTATCCAAATGAAACCAACACACAAGTTTCATTTTAAGCCAATGCAAGTAACCCTACCACCATCTCATGATGCCCACCCACATCAAATCTCATCCATACATAAAACTTGGTACAATTATTGTTTTTGTTTTCATACAGGAATATCCAACAAAATCTTTTGTTTCAAAGTGTTCTGTATCCTCCTCAGACTCATTACAATTTTCATTTTGAGTTTTAGGATACCGACACCACCACCTATCTTTTCATCTTCTCATCTCATCTTGTTAAATTAATATACTACATCAATTATCATATTTAATTTAGAATGATAACTTTTTTATTAATCTACCAAAATAATTCATTATGTTTAGTAGTGCAATTTTAACAATTTTAAATATATGAAATGCACAGCTTCCCTCTTATATGGAGTACCAAATAATTATTAAGTTGTGCATTTGTTTTGTCCTTTGTTTCAATTTTGCTTTTCTTTTTATTTGGTGGCTAAACAAACAGTTTATTAGTTGATTATTAAAAAGTGTTGTTTTCTCACAATTTGGAATGGCCAATAAAATTTTATTCTTTTCAAGTAATTTGAAGACCCTTATTTAGATCAATTATTTTTGTTTTGTAGCCAATAGACAAGCAATTGGAAAATATGACTATGCTAAGACGTTTTTGGACCATTTAACACGTTTGTATGTTTAGTCTAATTTTACAAGATGTTATCCAATGGATGGAGGGTGATATTAGGGCTATTAAAAATGATAATATGACTATTCAAGATTCCTGTGCATTTTTGACTATTTTGTGACATTAATTGTCTCTTATGAGATGGATGGATCCAAAAGTTAAAGCTTATATTTGGTTCAATTTCAAATGATTTTGAGGGTATTCGTTCTACATCGTTCTTCTCTTCTTAATGTTGATTTAGTAGTTAAATACAGAATCAATTCTCACTTCAATCTGATTTCACATTAAAAAAAACCCTTTATATTCCTTTATTTGTTTGTGTTGCTAATTGGAAATCTGGTTTCGACCAAACCAGGATGATCTATAGTATTTTTTTTATATATATTTATGTCATTTATATTTATATTTGTTTGTTGCTTAACCTTTGCTCATATTTTCTTCTTAATATAATTTTTTTTAAAATAATTTGTTTTTCTAAAAAGTTTTTGAAATCCAAATATCACAATTCACTTCTTTACTCTTTTGTTTGGAGTCGCTTGTCCAACAACTATTATGACAAGTTTTGTCACAACAGTAATGTAAGACAAATGCCTAACAGACTGAGCCGGAAGAAGTTTGTTTAGGTCGGAGTCACAAGCAAAGGTTTGTTAAGGAAGAACCATGAAAAAATAAATTAGGGATGAGTTGTGGCAATAAGAGATAAAGATGAACGCTATAAGACAAAAGTTTGCTAAAGCTGCCATAAAATTTTCCCTCAGTTGATACAGGTCTGCCACAAGTTGTGTTGTTTCTCATATGTTGTTTTTGGTCCTTTTGGGGTTGGCTGCATTATGCAAAATAACATGGAGTTTGCTCAAGTTTTTCTGGTGCAGAAGAGACTCATATGAAAGACGATGTTCAACATGAACATCTGGTCTCTGACAACAGACAAATGATATTGCAGTTTTGACTCATAATCATTTTATCCAAGATGTTCTTTACACTGAAGATCTACAAGTTATGGAGAATAGCTAATTTGGATGTACTTGTGCAACATGTGGAACACGATGTTCCAGCATGTGTGCAGTGCAACAAATGGTCCTGGTCAGCAGACCATGATGGATGTTGTTTGGTGCAAAAATTCTGGTTGAAATTCAATCATATTTGATGCAGTATTTTTAGCAAAATGTGGTTAATTTGTTTGACAACTGCTGAAGATCAAATCAAATTTAAATGGAGATTTAAATTTGAATTTGAATATACCAAATTATATCTTTTGTTTGAGAGATTTATGGAACAAATCAAATCCAACTAATCCAACTGTTATTCTTGATAGATTAAATGGAGAAATCCAAGAGGAAAAAGCCCTTAAGACATTGCTATATAAGGAGACTTAATTCTCATGTTTTACTTGAGAATTTGCGCACAAAATTAAGTTCTTTGTGTCTAGGGTTTGTGAGTCATTTGTTTCTTATATTCCATGGTAATGGTGTATTGGTGTTGAATATATTTATTGTACACCACTATATGTTTCAGTAACTTGGCATAGTTGTTGATTTGTCTTAGTTGAGTTGTAAATTCAACAATCAATAGAGTTGTTAACGAAGTTGTTCACTAGGGATTAATGGTTGAATAACGTGAAAGGGATTATCATATTTAGTGGGAGTCCTAAATAGAAAGTCATTAGGATTAGGAAAAGGCATTGAACATCATGTGGTTGATGTTCATAGAAGACTAAGTGTAATAATTTGAAGTAGTGAATTTCCTTTCTTAGGTATAATGTCTCCCAAACATAGATGTGGTTTCACCGAAGTGGGTTATCAATCTCTTATGTTTTTATTTCTTTATGCATTGTGTTTTATTATTGTCATTTTGGTTTAAGAAGTTGGACCAGTTGTCTCAACATTGTGTCTAACATCTGTCCCCTCAAGAATAAAATTTCAGTTGTGTACTATCATGGTACATGTACTACCAAATAATGAATATGCTTTATTTTTTTAGGATGAAATCAATGGATATTTACATGGTCCAATGTAATATCCCGTATTTTCTAAAATGCTCTAAATAATATTAGTTGAGATCAACTAAGTTTCTATGTGCTATAAGAGTTACCAGTTCAGATAATTAGAGTAACTAGTGAGCTCAAATTGACTTAATTAGTATTATTCAATACTGACATTTTATTAATTGGTACAATTGAGATAGTTGCTAACATTAATAATGAGTTAGTTGCTCTAGTAGAACAAATATTAAACATTGCACCACTTAATATTTATTTTACTACTAAACTTATCATTTTCTACCACATGTCATTTGTTACTAACTAGCACATATGATACTTCTATGTATCATTTTTTTTCCTTTCCAACAAAGTGAAAAACATAGAAAAGGGAAAATAGATAGAAAGAAGATGAAGAAAACCTAGAAGTGGGAGAAGAAGAAGAAGAAAGTAGAAGTTTTCACCATTCTTCATCAACATCATCTCATCTACATCATCCACAACTTCATCATCATTATTGTAAGGTGAGTTCTAGGTAAAAGTATTAGATTAGGGATGTTTAGATAGAATTGATGATATTGGTTTTTTGGTATGTTTTCTTCCATTGCCATGAGAATACTAGGATTATTGTAATATTCATGTTGGTTGTGTTGAAATACCGAGGTTATGTGTTGGTTTTGTTGGGAAATGAGCATGTTTGAGTGTTGAGGGAAAAACCCCTACATGCCTGTCTTGGTTCTACTTGCATTTTTATAGAAAATGATGCGATCGTCGGGCAAGCCCGAGGCAACCTAGTTTTCTGCTAGCATCGTCAGGTGAGGCCTGACGAACAAAAGGCGAGCAAGCTCGTTGATGGCTCGCCTGGCGACCATGACGCAATTTTGATTCTGTCTGCACCTCGCCTAGGTTTGTAAACTACTTCGAACTCAATAGACCTGACACACTAGATATGATGATGCAATGTTTAGGAGCTGACCCAAGTGATGCCCAAAAAGTGATGGATGACACCAAAGGATGTCATGGCAGATTTGGATTTCCGGAAAGGCTGTACAGATACCACCTAGATGCGACATATTTTGTTTTTTTTACATTGATATAATATACACAAGTAACACATCATAGAGTTTTTACATTAAGGTTATACCTCTTGTATTTGGTTGGCACACCTATATTCATGGACAAAAGTGCATATTATATCAATATCGTATACCTGAGATACTTCATTGAGTTGGAGAGGATTAATGAGTATAATTAGAGGGGTTATTATTTGTTTTACCTCTACTCCAAGTTAGGTGAAACTTATCTATAGAAGACTAGATAAATGAAATCAAATAACACATTACATACAGTAATATATTTGCACCTTTACTCTTTCTAATATTTCCTAACACGTGTGTTATGTTATTACTAATATTTCATATGTACAATTTTTTCAGGCATAGATTGTAACACCCTACTTCCTGACTCGAAGATTAATCAAATAAAACATGTATAAAACAGATATCCCACAAGTAAGATGCTACTCAACTTCAATAAAAAAATTCATGAACCACATAATAATAACACTTTATTCATTTGATAAGCAGCGGAATTTCAAAATCAGTTGGAATAAAAAGCCTTAACAACTTATTAGTTTGAAAAAGTGGTTCATCATAAAAAATTAACGGAAAGATATGCAACATAAAAATAAATGACAGAACAACCTGTTCTCCTTGTGGTACATGATTATCTATACTCTAGAGGAGCACAGACACAACAACACAAAAGGGGTGAGAATACATTCAAATAATAAATGGTG